TATATACGAAATCTATTCAATAATTTAAATGGAAATTATGCTATCAGAAAAATATAAATAAAGGATTTACAACCAACTAAAGAGAATCAGTAAACTTTTAAAATTGTATTTAAACTTTATATAATGTTAGATATGTATATATTCACTTTTAACATTACAGATATGAAAACAATGTACTCTCGGTTTTAAAAATAACAAAGAATTATTTTTAAATCTTTGTGAATGAATTTAAAATTGTCGAAATTATTAATATTTATATACATATCAATTCTTTGTTTTGCAAATTGACAAAATTTAATTAATATTTAGAGATTGATATAATTAAATTCTCTTTTTTTTGCTTACATATTGTTATAGAAATAAGATTCCAATTTAAACTCCAAGGATTGATATAGAATTGATTCTTGAATCTTGAATCGAAAAAAAAAATTACATTGCTCGTTAATTTTTCATCAAAACATCGTCGAAGGAAGTAACGAATATTTTTAGTCTCGTTTTAGACATTCTACAGATTTCAGTAAAATGCTATTTACAAGAGTGCGATCCTATTTACATTTGTCAATTTTTTTCTTTCGATTAAACACTGAAGTATTTGTAGCGAATGGATTGCATTCTCATTCCTCAATATGCCGTTTGCATTTTATAATTGCATGCGTTCAATTTTACGATATATCATTTTCTCCGCCGAATAAAGAAGGATAAAATAATACATCATGCAATCATGCGTGAAACACACTCTTGTACGTACACGTGACGTGTGCCAATGTGCACATTCCGAGTCTCGAAGTTCAAATGTTTTTTCGTATCATGCGTCGTGCGATGTGCGATTCGCTTCGCGCAGTTCATGCGACGCGACCAAACAAGACGCATAAGTACTTAACTCCGAATCCGAATTCGTAAGTTACGTGTGGCGATGACACCTATCTGAAATGAATTGAATTCTGATCGCGAATAACGCAAATTAGATATATATAGATCGCCATCGACTGTCGCAAAGCGCGAAAGCAAGACAGATATGAAAACCTCCATCCAAATGAGTAACACTTAAGACGGTAAGAAATGTTCATCACCAAATTTCACGTGCATGGAAACAAATAGAAGCTATAAAAATACTTATCTCGAAACCTCAAAACATTCAGTTTAGAATTTTGGGAACTATGTATTTACGAACGATGCAAATATGTAGGTATGTATTGAGTGCTTTCCAGCAAACATTTACACAGTGTGACACAGTAATAGCTGAAACGTTGTTCAACTTTTTTATTTCACTGCGAGAGTGAAGAAAAAGGTGTTGTATAGCTAGGATCGAACACATTCGAACGTAATTTTGAAATCTCTTATCAGAGTGTCACTCATAGAAAAATAAATGATAATGAAAAATAAAATATATAATTGCTTTCAGGAAGTAATGTTTTACGACGATGTAGTCGAAAAACATCACAGTATTTTACATCACAGTATTGTGCTGACTTGCGTTATAGTTAAAATCGTATTGTAAGCCTGTTCTTTTTTCATCAGGATTGAACTTCTTGCATGATTAAGCTTTTTCTTGAATTCTCTCTAAAAAGAAAAAGTGAAAAGAAAAAGAAGAAAAATGAAGCTAGTTTTGAAGAAAAATGAAGTAATGTTTAGAATCAATCCTGGAGTATGGAAAAAAATCAATTTGGACGTTTTCATTGTTTTCAGCTTTTACATACCTATACATATCCTATTTTTTATGCGCGGTGCCTTTGAGTGCATTACTGCCGTCTGAACATAGCAACATAGCGAACGTTTAGAAAAAAAGACTGCGCAGCTATGGGGCGACTTTGTTTACATTCGCTGGCGCCCATAGGATATCTTTTTTCATGCGATTATCACTCCCTCAAGGACTTCTCAAGTTACGGTTTTTGTTTAGTGGCTGAGAGAGCGGCTTTTGTGTGTCACTACGAGTCTCATTGTCAGTCGCGCGCGAACGAAAGACGAGATTGGACTTCGCGGTTACGAACTTTTCATCACCGGCGAATTGCCCTGGGAGTGAAACAGGAAGAACAAAGCCAGTGCTGTGACAGTGCTTTTGATGCTCACCTTCCCCTCCCTCCTCTTATTTTATTATCGGATCTTCGACAAAAGTTTTTAATTGATGATTTTTGATTTCTTGGAAGGTATGCATGTAGAATTTTTTTTTTTAGTGTATTCCAGGTTAAATCAGTGCTTATTGTTCAGTTCAGTGCTTTTTGTGAGTCACTTGAAGTTCTAAAAATAGTGACGATTTTGTCCTCTTGATGCTTCAATTTATCAATATTAAATAATATACGTATAATGTGCTTGACTGTTACGAGAACATTTATTAGATAAGCTAGGCGTTAGTTATAATTATAAGTAATATTCTTTGAAACGCTGATAAAATTTTGAAACATTTTATTGTTTTAATTCGACAATAATTAAACAATAGATAACAATAATAGATCTTTTATCGAGGATATATCTCGAGTTTTATAATGAAGTTTTAAATTAACAGATTTTTTCATAGAATTGAGAAACTAAAGCCTGATTTTTTTGCGAAGGTAATCTTTGACTTTATTTTTTGCATTATTCCTCTAAAATTAGAATTAAAATATAATCAAAAATGTTTTAACTATATTTTTTTATAATGTCTTTGCTAAAATAAATAAAATAAAACAAAAAATTGGGAAAGAGACTTTATAGTTAAAATTAATTTATATATTAATTTGATAGTTCGATAAAATGTCAAAATATGTAAAACTTAAAATATTAATTTTTTGAAATAAAATACAGTTTATAAATTTTACAAATAATTTTTAATAATTATATATAAAATAATTTAGATCCTTTAAATGATCTTTATGTGAACGCACCATTATTACAAATAAATAATTAACATGATATTAAATAAATCTGTAATATACTCGACCTTTATTATAACTTTAAATAAGGATTAAGAGATTGTATTTAATTACGTACATAGCAAAGTTCTTTGAAATGTTGATTACAAAGCATTTTATCATCTTAATTAGATTATGGTAAAAATCATAAATATAACAGTTGGATTATAGTAAAAATTATAAATATAACCATGGACAAATATTTCAGTATACTATTTTATCTTTCATATTAGAGATATCTTATATATTAGAATAGGCAAATATTTATTAAATATTCTATCAATTATTTTATTTACTGGCTAAAGGTTCGTCGCAGCAGAGTATGCAGGCACAAAATTGTGATAATACCAGGAAAAAGATGAATATTGAAGTAGGTTTATCATCTATGAAGTCCTTCAAAACCATTTTTATGGAAGATGCAAATATCTCTGAGGAGAAAACTATCGCAAACCAAGCTTTATTGCACAATGCGCAGCTTCTACGGAATCTACCAAATATTTTAAGAAGCAATAACACAAAAACATCTAGAAATTATAAAATATTAAACAAAACCGATACAAATACTTCTGGTGCAGAAGACGGAAATTCTTCTTGGGAATTAAATACATCATCTAGTGTTGATTTAGATATGGAAACCAATTATAATTACAATAAAATCACTTTACCAAAATCGCATCGTCAAAGAAAGCAAGTGCACAATCCATTGGACATTCAATATGATATTCCTGATTGCAATAATAACAAAAATAAAAATCTATTGCAAGAAATTGGTCAGTTAAATGTATCACTAAGTTGCCAAAAAAATATATCAACCAAGAAAAAAAACATAAAATATAACAACAAGCAGAAGAAAAGTTCGTTCAATAAAAACTCGAAAAAAAAAACAGCTCGTAAATTTAGCAAGAAAACACAAGTGTCACGTAAAAAGCCAGTCACGTTAGTTACTATTCCAGATATGAATATGAAAAACGCCATGCAAGATGTTAATAATTTTTTGAAGAATGATATACTTCCTCAACAACAACTTTCTGTTTACAACCCTAATTTTTCAAATATAAATGTAAATGATTTAAATGACGTTGCAACAGAATCAATCGAGTCATCTAATATTTTCTATTGTAACAACGAGATTTACAAATTCGAAAAAGAATGTGATATAAATCTCAATAATGTTATTTCTTGTAAACCGACAGAGATCAACACAATGCACTCCAAAACTATCCAAAAAGATATTACAAGTTATGAGTTTCCAATAACAGAAAATAATTTGCAACAAAAGACGATAGATAGCTACATTGGTTCTAATTTTTTATGTGGATCCAAAATATTGTATTCTTGTTCTTGTGCAAATTGTATGTCACATGATAAAGATATTATATTTTATGAAGATCCAGTATCAACTTCTACGAGCAGTGACGACATGGAAGCAGAGCTTTTCGCATGTGATTTGCATACAAACATTTATGACTTTTATATTAATAATTACTTTCATATATTTGATAATTTAATGGACTTTGAAAAAAATTTCTATGAAGAGTTTGACGAGAACATTTCAATGAAAGAAAATGCATGTAGTACAACAGAACTAATTGAAAGCAGTACAAACATATCATCAATAAATCAAAATGAATCCCAAAATTTACAATCTTCCCATATTGATAGAAAAGATATTTGTGTAGAATATCCTGCAGCATTTGTCACATATCCTAATGAAATAACAATGGAAAAGTCAAAAACTTTTGATGAAATAAATGTCCCTAATTATTTTAATTTGGACAGTTTTT